AAGCTGATGTTCTATGGTATTTTAAGTTGTTTTCACTAGCCGAAAAAGAGTGCTTATTTAATTTTTGTCTTTTAAGCACTTTTTGTTTAGAAGATTTATTAGATGTTTGTTTTACTGCTGGTAAGGAAGATGAAGAAAGCTTGTCGAGAATAAATGTTGACAGTGCAAAAGTTATTACCTGATAACTGCGGTATTTGGCTTCTAAATTAATGCAAAACAAAATTAGCATCCATTTTGGAGGTTGGATACCGAATCGACCTCGTCGATGAACCCGCATAACAATACCTGTGGTCATTGCTGCTGTGGACACTACGATCATATTGAACAGAAAATATGCTACTGAAATTTATCGGTGGTTAATTTGGCAGCTGTTTTTTTCCTCGATAATACAGAATTGTTTTGTCAAGCAGACGTTGCCGCATTTTCTTTATAAATTAAATTTATATTTACGAGTCACTTTGGTACAGAGATGCCGACTTTAAATGTTTATATCTTTTCAACTGTACTTTAAATTAAATTTTTTTTATTATTGAAATACTAAGAATTTTTGAAAGGAGAGGTGAAAATTATCTTAAACATTGGAGTATTGTATCTATTTTTATATTTTTACTTCGGTATTCTCCATTTGTTTCAAAAATTTTATAACCGACTTTTATAAAGAAGTATAAAAGAGTAGAAAAAAAAGAAGCGGTTGTTATTTGCTTAGCTGTTTAAACAAGAAAGTTCCTTACAACATTTTCTTCAACTTTTATTGCTGTAGCTATGGATAGGAAGATCAGTATGGCTGGATTAGAATTTGGAAAAAAAAGTTTTAATTTTCACACATCTCTAGATTGTTTTTAGCAAATTACTGTACAAAGGTTAAGAGGAGTTTTGTGGTACAAAGAGCAGTTTCGATTTCACTTTTTTAAGAATTTAAACATTCTAAACTTAGGCGGTTCATATAGGAATTCATTTAGAGTAATGTATTGTTCAGAAGTTAAAATATTTCATACTTGAAGTTGGACAAATAGGGTGTGTTGTGATTGTTCCGGTCATGTATGTTAAAAACCGCACATATGTGCTTCATTAATTATGCATTATTTATTGTTGTTGCTGTCGTTGTTATTTCCGTTAATTACTTCTTGTATTGTCTAGAGCCTTTTAGTTGTACAGTAAAAGTATAAAAAATGGGAATTTAATCTCATAGCAAGTCTCACGGGCAGTCATTTCAAAGGTTTTGTAACCAAGTGTTTCTTTGCCTAATAAGATATTCATGTATAGCTTTAAAAACATTGAAGAAATATTTTTTTTTGAAGCTTTTTGAGAAATTATTTTCACAGTAACATTATTATGTCATGCAGAGACTAAGGTTGTAAACGGAATAACGATATTACATCGAGATTGGTCATGATGAATATATGCGCTAAAGTTAAGAAGTCTCTGAAACAAATATGATGAGTTGTAATTTACAGTCAGGCTTCTAATCAATGGCTTACACAACATGGGGGAGAATGTAAAAAACGGAAATGATGTTTCAGCAAATGAAATATTCAAAAAGGGAGCTAAGAATTTATTTAAAGTCGAGGTGCTTATAAAATTTGGTCAAAAGCAAAAAAAAGGTTGTCTTTAAGTTTTAGGAAAGTGATAGTTGGAAAAACAGGCAGAAATTAGTTTCTACCAGTAAAATATCTAAGCTGAGCTCGAAACAACTACAGTTCTAATTAGCACAGGTTGAGCTGAAAACATAGAAGACTGTTGCCAATGAAAAGGGGAATTGTTATGCAAATGAAGTTTAGGAAGAATTTTAACTTCTATTTAATAAAAAACACACATGAAACAGTGTTTCGTCCAGGAACTGCTACCTCGTTAAAAAAAAAATAAAGCAAAAAAACTGGAAGTGGTATTAAAGTTGGTGCTCTAAAAACTAAATTCATTTGCCCTAAAGGCTTTAGAACTCAAGAACAAGTCACGCAGTGAACTCGTATGTATAACAACGAATTCTTCCTTATGTTTTTCTACTGACCATTTGCACTTATGGATTTGCTACTGTTTTTAAAACGTCGTAAAACAGTTCGAAGATTCAAATCTTGCAAATCATTTTTTTAGAAGATATTTTTT